AATCTGGCAAAGGAAATAGACTGCCAGGAAGTCCAGGAAGCTCAGAGAGTCCCAAAGAAGCTGGACCCAAGGCACATCATAATTACATTACCTAATATTAAAATGAAGGGGAGAATTCTAGAAGAAGCAAGAGGTAAGGGGACAGTCACCTACAAAGGAGTTCCCATCAGACTGTCAGCTGATTTCTCAAAAGACACCTTACAGGCAAGAAGGGACTAGAAAGTATTCCAAGTCATGAAAGGCAAGGAGCTCCATCCAAGATTACTCTATCCAGCAAAAGTTTCATTTAGAATGGAAGGGCAGATGAAGTCAAGTTAAAGGAGCTCATCATCACTAAGCCATTATATGAAATATTAAAAGGACTTATCTAAGAAAAAGAATATGAAAAATATGAACAGTAAAATGACAACAAACTCACAACTATTAACAATTGGACTTAAAGAAACCTGAAAACTAATTAAGCAAACAATTAGAACAGAAACAGAATCACAGAAATGAAGATTATATGGAGAGTTATAAGTTATATAGATATTGTAAGTGGGGAACAGGATAGGGGAGAATGGGAGAAAAGGTATAGGGAATAAGAATCATAAATGGTAGGTACAAAATAGATATGGGGAGGTTAAGAATATAGTATGGGAAATGGAGAAGCCAAAGAACTGACATGTACAACCTACAGACATGAAAAGGTGGGGAAAAACTGGTGGGAGTAAGGGTACAGGGCAGAGGGGAACAAAGGGGATAAAAAAAATGGGACAACTATAATAGCATAATCAATAAAATATACTTTAAAAAAGATGTAAAAACAAGAAATTAATAAATCCAACAGGCAAATAATCATTAACGATGTAGTTGAATTCATCATCAACTAACTGGATATAATAGACTACTGCATCCAACAACAGGAGAATATACATTTTTCTCAAACTTACATGTAATATTCACCTTGACAGACCACATTTTGGGCCATAAAACAAACCTCACCAAATTTAAAAGAATAGAAATCATATAATGTCTATTCTTAGTCTACAAGGGAATTAAACTAGAAATCAATAACAGAAAGGTGGCTAGAAAATCCCCAAATGCATGAATATTAAACTTTTAAATAACACAAAGGCCAAAGAAGAAATCTCAAGAGAAAATACATGGCATTTTGAACTAAATGAGAATTAAAACACAACATATCAAAATTTGGGGGCTGCCATGAAAGCAGTGCTCAGAGGGAAACGTAGAGCACTGAATGCATATATTTAAAAAGATCCAACTATAGTATATTCTGGAAAAGGCAAAACAATGGAGACAGTAAAAAGATCAGTGCTTGTAGGAGAGGCATGAATAGGTGGAGCACAGAGGAATTTAGACCAGTAAAAATACTCTGTATGATGCCTTAATGATGGATACAAATCATTACCAGTACATATGTGGTCAAACCCCATGAATGCATAACACCGAGAGTGAACCATAATTTAAACTATGGATTTTGAGTGATTATCATGTGTCAATGTATGTTCATCAAGGGTAAGAAATGTACCACTCTAGTGCAAGATACTAATGAGTGAGTGCATATGTGGGGGTAGTATACATGGGAAATCTCTACTACCCTCTCAATTTCCTTGTGAACCTAGCATTACTCTTAAAAATAGTCTTAACTTAAAAAGGAAAAGTAGTCTTAACAACAGAAAAGGAAAAATATTAAAGTTATAAGTTCATATTGACTTACTTTATAACTAGTCCTCAGGAAACATGTTCCCCGCCCTCTTCTTCTGTATATTGGCTCCCTATGCTCACTGTTCATGTGTCTTCCTGATTCCATTGTCTTCTTAGCACATAAAAATTTTGTAGCTTGGTTGCCAATAGTCTTTTTATATCCCAATTCCAAATTCAAAAGAAATAATGTGAATGATATGGCCCACATCAGATATTCAGCTTTGATGTAAATACTTGTACTACTTAGGCTGAAAGTGGTATGTGGAACGGAAGCATCCTTAGACCAATCCCTACCCACTGGTCCTTAGAATGATTTCCCTACACGTTGGGCAGGCTTTTAAAGAAAAGTTTGTAGGTGAGGTCAGGTAACAGTCTTAACTATTAAAACTAAAAAAAAAACAAACAAACAAAAAAAAAAACCTAAAAAAAAAAAAGGCAAATCTGTTTTTCAATTCCTCAATATTTTCTTAACTTAGAATTGATGCAAAAATGAACATTCATATACAAATGAGGCTAATTTTCTAGTATAAAGTTAATTTTTAAATTATGTTTAAAACATGTATTATTCCTATAATTAAAAGAAAACTACACTAGAAGGAAATTAAACACAAAAAATAATTTTTTAACTTACTAAATTCTTTGTTGCCTCAATTTCTTCATCTTAATATGGAGATAAAATAGCTGTAAGGAGTAGTGTGAACATATGTATAAAGGATTTGGAGTTACATGAATGTTAGCGAATATTGCTCTTCATTTTTCCCCACTTGAAATGGTTTCTGAGCCAATAATTTCAATACTTATTTTTTCATATTTGTAAAATTTATAAACTATATATGACTAAAATCTCTCTACTAAACTACACAGAATTATATTCTCTCAGCATTAACAAGACACAATGTTTACTTGTTAAAATAACAAGCACTCTGAACATAAACAGTTTCAGAGTATAAGGCCCCACTGTTCTGCATCAAGAATTTGCAGATATTAGGATAAAGAAGACAAGAGCTCCCAGTCTAGGGTTATAATGTTTACAACTAAATGGCACAGTGGAAGCACTACTCCAGGGAAATCTATGAAGCTATTTGAAACTCACTGGGTAAAATTTTAAGGGGAAACAAAAATAGTCAGTGGCTAAGTCTGCATAAAGATGATGGAGAATAGATTTGAGGAAATGCAGTATGGATAAACATCACGGTTGGAAGAGGGTGGTGAAATATTATGAAGATGATGTTTGGAAAGAAAGGTTGGAACCAGATCGAGAAGGGCTTTGTAAAAAACAGCCAAGGAATTTTAATTTTATATGTAGGCAATGGGAAATCAACAGAAATTTTTATGAAGCAACATTTAAGGAGGAGAGGCTGCAGAAAGGGGCAGGGAGCATTACTTAAAAAAAAGGCATAAACTTTCTAATTAAATCTAGTTTCTAACTCTAGTTCAAATACTTGTATGAAAACAAATTACTGAACCTCTCTTAGCCTCAGTTTTATGTGAAAGTAGGACATATCAAGCTTATTTGTGAAGACTGAGATAAAGTATAATGTGGTTTGTACAATGCTTAGTAACTCGACAGGAGTATGTTATCATTTACTATGTGCCACACACTATTCTAAGATGTATGTATTGACTCATTGATTCTCACAATAATCCTACAGGGCAAGTATTATTTCCCCTCATTATACACTTGAGGGAATTAAAGCAAAAAATGTAAAATAGCTTTCTTTGGGTCACACAGCTACCAAGTGGTAGAGATGGAACTGGTTCCAGTTTCATGCCCTTAACTAATATATTATAAAGTCTCTTTAGCAAAGACCAAGTCAGTGTTTTTGAACACTGGCCAAATCTTTTCATTTTCTAGTTAAATTCAGAATTAATAAACACAGATTCCTCAACCCCATCCTCCAGACCTACCTTGCCTGATATTTGAAGTGCAGGAATCAGTACTTAACAAACCCTTCATGGTAATGTATACAAAATAAAACATGAAACTCAATGACTTAGGTAGATAGATCAAAAACTCAAAAGAAAAGAGGCCAAGTAAGGAAAAGCGACAGTAAATTGTAGACACCTATCTTTAAAAAATGTACCATTTGCCGGTGGCTTACACAAAATAAGCAGAATAGCTAGCTGCCTGTAGTCCCTAGGGAAGTGTAGCTAATGTGTTGCTACAGCCTCACACAAAATGTTTCAATTTCAATGATCATAAATAGTGAATATTTAAATCAATCCCCCCCCCTTAATAACAAACAGAAATTCATCAGCAGGAATGGGAGAGTGGGAGCAGCCAACATTGGATGAAGGAATGTCTATTCTGAATATTACTAAGTCCTACTTTCAAAGAGCTATATATACACTTATATAGTATCATTTCCTAGTGTTATAATCTTTAAAGAACCAAAAATACGTGTTTCTATAAAGCAAGGCAAAATTAGTCTGACAGTTTTCATAAAGTGAGATATAAAATTTCTATGCATTTCAAGTACTCATTTATAATTTATATTTAGGGCACACATTTAAAGTATTCCAAAAGGCACGACTTTGCTATCGGGTTAGATAGATTTTGAAATTTTAGACACTTCATCGTTAAAAATAAATAAACAAAAACACACACAACCCCCCCCCCCCAAAGAAATCCCATACTGTTAATATGAGGAGAGTATTTCCAAAATGACTCCACAATTACTCAGTCAATGAATAAAGGGAGTGAGAAGCAGATCTGTGGAACCTTATCGCTATTGTTAGCAAACTGAGACCCTTGTGAATCACCTCTACTATTATAAAGTTTAAAGGGGCAAGAGTCTCAGCTTTTTGCGGGACATGAAAAACGTCAGGCATGAAAGAAAAATATCCGGGTTTTAAATACAAAGGATACTCAGATTTCAGTTTAAATCCCCACTAGGCATTTCAAAGACTGTCACTTCCCTGAGGTCCAGCATAATAAAGGCTACTGCGGGCACTCCTCTCAGGAGGAACTCAAAGCTACACAGAGCACCTCTTCACTCCAAATCTGTCCCCAACCTTCCATTTTAAATAAAGGCAGATTCTCCGACCTGTGGTAACGCTTTAGCAATTAAATATAACGACCGTGGGAGCTTCAGGATTCAACTCGAATGGCGGAAGTGCTAAACTGGGATTGCCAGAACAAGGCTTAATCTCGGGGCTGTGGGGTCTCCAGATCCTCAACACCCTCAGAACTGACTTGCGCACGCCAACCGTCAGGAGCGCTGGCCCGGGAAACGCTCCGCAGCGCCCTGACTGCTTAAAGTCCCCACACCCGGTCCCACCACCCGACAAACCTCAAGGCTGTCCGAGGCGTCCGCTACACTCTTCCGACTCCCGAACCCGTATCCCACGAGACAGTCCGGCTTCTCTCCCTGGAACGCTCTGTTTCTTCTGGCTCCCCTGCCACTCATCAAAGCGCGGGGAAGAAGTTCCCGAATGGCCGTGTCAATTTTCAGTTCTCGCGCTGCAACAACCGCGACATCCCCAACCAACGGCCTGCGAGATTCAAAATCTCCACTTCCGCCCGTAACCCGGAAGAAGAGCTCAACCCCACCCCTGAGGGCTGAACTGGGGCGACGCGGGAATCGGGAAGGTCTGGGCGCACCGCACGTTTAATACTTCGTGGTACTACTGTGCAGGCTGTGTCCACGTCGCGTTAATTTCCTTTGTCTCGCTCCCTATTTTGATCCGTAGTGAAGTCGGAGCTCGGGGTTGGTGTTTCTGTCCGGTAACTCTTGGGAGGGCCCTATTGTTTCTGAAAAGGACAGAGCTGTTTGGAAGTTTCAGTAATTCAAGGAATGGATAGAAAGCAGTAGCGGAGCCTAGATGTTTTTATTCCTCCCCTTACCCTGGCTAAACGACAGCAACAGCACAGAGTAAAAAACAGACGCTCCCCAAATTTAGTAATGGGTTTCTCTGGGCCTCCTTAGTCCTGTCCCAGCAGAGACAGGACTTTTACCCCTTTCCATTCCCGTTTGAGGAAGATAAAAAATAAAGTGCAGTTCTGCCAAAAATTTAAAATAAGTTGTAGGAGCAGTACTGGTCTTCAATAAAATATTTGAGGATGAGTGTTAAAAAGCGACAAATCTTGGTTTTTTTTTTTTCCTTCTGATGAGAGATTTTACAAGTTGCCCGTGAGATTCTTGGGAAACAGCGTTATTTTCTTTTCCCAAGGACTGCGCGATACATTCTTTATCCAAACATCTCAAGCTTCTGAAGGAATATGTGTAAGAACTTTAAGAAAGGTCTGAACATGTTCGTAGGTTAAAGAAAAAACGAAATACTAAAGAACTAATCTCAGCGTTGGTGCCAGTTCATCCTTATGTCTAATGAGCATTGATTTACTTATACTGCTCAGTTCAAACCAAGTCATGATAGAACACTTTCTACCTCCATCAAAACTGCAATTTGAAGGATTAATGAGATATCCGGGAATTTGTTTTACAGATAATCTGACACAAGGTTTTAGAAAACTATTAATGCTGTACTATTTTTAACGGTGGAAAATAGGATAATCTGAATGTCTATCAATAAAGAAATGATTAAATAAGTTTTGACACTGCAGACACTAAAAATCAAGAAAAAGAGTATAGGTAGTCCAATGAAAAACGTTGAGCTTTAGGAAGACTATATACAATATAGTTCTTTTCAAGTCTGTGTCTGTGTATGGCACACACGTTTCTGGATGGATACATAAACTTGTAAGGAGTTATCCCTGGGAGTCAGATTGGTAAATGAGAATGGGAAGAGACTTTTTACCTTTTACATTATACCCAGTTGAATTTTTCAAATAATAAATCTGTTCTACTCTTGTAATTTAATTGTTTTTTAAAGAAGATTGTTAAAAATGCAATATGTTCAAGATACAGAGTTGGATTAAATAAATGCATAATGTTTGAATATATGTTCACTCATTCTGTCATGGACTCATTCAACAACTAGACAGTGATGGTATGGCCACACATTTTGTCATTCATGGTGTTACTGACATTATTTAATGCCCCACATTTTAAATATATTGTCCAAGTTTCTTGAAGGCAGAAACTGTCATATATTTTTCTATGTCTTTCATAATTCTTGTCATCTGCCCATTATTAAGTTTCATTCTTCACAAAAATTAAATTTGCAAGTTAACCTGTGTGCGTAAGTTAAATATACTCAAACTGCCCTTGAAAAGTCACCAAAACAATACTAAAATACTATATGTATAGTATATATTTAATTTATAATTCTTCTAGAATTTATTTTGGCATACGGTGTGCAAGGTGGAGACCTAACTTTGTATCTTCCATATAGATATCCAGTTATTGCCATTTCTTATTGATTTATAAATGAACTACCTTTTTCCTATTAAACTGAAATGCTACCTTTATAATATACTAATGTACAGGGTCCAGCACAAATAATGCTCCTTTTTTATTACCAAGTTATAAGTATGTAATTTTGTAACATAACAATAGCACACTCAAGCGCATCATATGACATTTTAGGTGAAATATTCAAGTTAAAATTATAAATTATTATACCCATATTATTTACCAGCCACATTCAAGCAGGCCATACTTCTGCCAGGTACTGTACTGTAAATCCACTTTTGCCCCAACCAATATAATGACTTTTTTATTACAACTATATAGGCAAGTTTAAACAAAATATTCCTACTGTGAGTTTTCTTTAGTCAGTACTTCTTTGGTACCCTTAATGAATTCTTTGATCTCTTCCACCAAAATGTTGGCAAAGTTATCAGCCAGCAGCCCTGCCATCAGTCAGACCAATAGATTAATGTCTCAATAGCAGGGAAGAATCCCTTAAAGTCACTGACATATTTTTTCCCATATGACTAGCTGGGTTTGACTGTGTAAATTGCTCAGGGCTGGTGTTTATTAAGTAGAATATCAGGTTATTTATACTACTTACACTGTCATTGCTTTTTTTCCCCTGGAGTGACTTGAGTATAGGCGAATTTGAATACAACCAGTATTCAAGTAATGCTACATTTCATGAACAAAGAAAATTAATACCCACTGACTAAATCAAGGAGCCTATATAAATATAAACTTAAGAACTTTCAAAAATATATTTACTAGAGGACATATTTAAATCTAACAAATCTAGTCATGAGATTGGACTTTCTAATAGCTAATATGTTTTTTAATTAAGTGAAATACATTGCTGAGTATCACACTCAATAAAAGCTGGAAAAACTGAAGAAAAAAGACAAAAAATGCTATTTAATTTTTGATAACCCCTAGTAATCTGAACTAGCAGAGAACTAAATCCATAGAAAATTTGAATCATAGCTAATGTAACCTCTCATCCCTGCTTTCCTCTTCCTATTCAGTCCATATGCAGGAGAGAACAAACTGAAACCACTCTTAGAACCAATGGTCATCAACTCACACGCAAGAGACAATACAAAGTGCTTTGGTGGACAAGTTCCTAGAATCTACTTTGAAAGGTCCTTATCACAACCCATATGATTGACAATAACAATAAAATGCCTTAAAATGTTTTTTAAAAGTATAATTGAAGAATGGAAGTGATTTCAATCATTTTCAATGTGACCATTAAGATTTTTAGAAAAAGATTATCAGAGCTGGGAGGAGATAATTTGCCTTATAAGCAAGACTTACCACAAAGCTAATGTGATCAAAGAGTAGTAGTGAAAATAAATTAGCTTAAAAAGATAAATATAGAGAGAATCCATAAAAATTCAACTATACATAGAATATTAATATATTATACAGGTGATATTTCAGTTTAATAGGAAAAGATGTTTCATTGCTAAATTAATAAGAGATGTTAATAACTGGTTATCTATATGGAACATAAAAGTTAGATCTCTATCTTGCACCATATGCCAAAATAAATTCTAGAAGGATTATAGATTAAATGTAAATGAATATAACAAAAATGTACCAGGAGAAATATTAGAAAAATAGCTGTGACTTTAGTTTAGAAGGCTTCTTAAAAAAGGAAGAAAATTTAGAATGCACAAAATAAAAGATGAATATGCCACCCCCAAATAGGCCACTTTAGCATAAACATTATTTTGAATTGAAGGCAATTGAGAAAAAAAGTAGACACAGGAAGAACCCTCCGCCCTTCCCCTACCTAACTAAAAGCAAGGCATATATTACAATTTGTGGTACCCTCCTCTTCTCTCCTGTACCAGGAGGTAGAGAACTTTCCTTACCACCAGAGATAGACATGGCACCAAGGAATCTGCATAAAAAATCTTACTAAATAACTTTATCTACCATTAATTTCCTCCATATATGTGTTTACCTTCCCACAATTTACTGCTCCTAAAAGCCCTAACCTCTTTTCCTTTGTCTAGTCACTTCACAATTTATTGCCCTTTGTTAAAATGGTATGTAAGCTCCTGATCCTAACTGTTTCTTTGGGTTTTCACTTCTTTTCTGTGGACTCCTGTTCATGTAAAATTAAAAAGAAAATGTTTATGCCTTTTTTCCTGTTAATCGTCTTTTGTCAGTTTAATTTGCAGGATTCCAAGTACTAAAATAAGAGGCTAGAGGAAAATCTTTTTCTCTCTTACAAATACATACGACTACACTAAATTTTAAAGTATTTATTTGGTAAGTTTCACCATAAAACATTGAAATAGGAATGAGAGACTGTGAAGAAATATTTATAATAATAGGATACAGGGTTAACAACTGTACTGTAAAAAATTTTTATATTTTGATTTTTTTTATCCACACCCGAGGACATGCTTACTGATTTTAGAAAGAAGGGAAGGGAGGGACAGAGAGAGGGAGAGAAACATCCTACATGCCCTGACTAGGATGGAATCTGAAACCTAGCAGTGTCCCCTGACCAGGAATCAGGACAAGGCTCCAACCAACTGAGGTACACTGTCCAGGGCTATAATTTTATTTTTTCAAAAAATTTAAAAAATGTACAAAAGAAATAAATAAGTAATTCATTAAATAGAAAATGAGAAAGGACAAATAAAAATATTCATTTCAATATCACACTACCAAAAACTAATTTTCCTTTCTTGGATTGGCAAATATTAAAATAATTATAACATCCAATACTGGTAGAGTTTTGTGGTAAAATACACATTGTCATCTGTTGGAGCATGCAGTGCTACAACTCTTTTGGAAAGTAACTTTTTAACCAAATCTCAACTTTGGAATTGTCCTATAGAAATAAACATGTTAGTGGACTTCCAGCCAAGATGGAGGTGTAGGTAGATACACTGTACCTCCTCACACAACCAAAAGAAGGACAACAACAATTTAAAAACAAAAACAAAAAAACAATCAGAACTTACAGAAAAATGAACTGTATGGAAGTCTAAAAACCAAGGAGTTAAAAAAGAAACATTCATCCAGACCAGAAGGAGGGGCAGAGACAGGCAGCGGGACGGAGAGAACTCACGGCAAGGCAGTGGCTGGAGGACCAGGGTGGTCAAGGCAGTGGCTGGTGGACTGGGCTGTCCCACATTTGCTTGTGGA